TTCTCTGAAGATAATTCTCTGCATTTGATTATTCATTGTATTGGCCACACAGAACTCATAGACAATACGTATGATCATAGGATTTATTAGGGAAGTTAACATATACGATTAGAAATGCTCAGGATGCAGTTCTTTGGTCAGGACAGCCTCTTCTCTTTCATGTCCGCCGCACACATGACCTCTTAGACGTTGCCATGCTCAGGCAGTACTACAAAGCACTTTCAGTGCTGCTTGTAAATGCCAAAAGATTCCACTTGACCTTAAGTAAGGTGCTCCCCTGAAGATGCTCATCTATACATTCATGGATTGATAAACCTAGCTGTCCTGTTTAAGTGCCTGGGTGCGCCCCACCCCACAAGAAAGGCTCCAACCTGAAGGCACTCAGCATTCTTTTTTTTTTTTAAACAACAAAAAAAGTTTATTTACAGCTAAATACTTAAAAACTGATCATCCGTGTTCCGGATTTGTGATACCAACAAGGCTTCTTGATCACATGCAGGAGCAGCAGGTGGGGGTGGGGCGGGGGTGGGGGGTCAAATCCAGGGGCCAGTTCAGATGATTTTACCAAGAGCATCACCCAGGAGAAAGGGAGGCCTAATTCAGTTTACATCTCCCCGCACTGTGAGAACACCACAGCCAGCCTCGGCTTATTGTTGGGGCCTGTGGGAACACTCTCAATGTTTCTCATCACTAGAAGTCCATCAATGGTTTTTCCAAACACCATGTGCTTTCCAGCTAGCCATTCGCATTTAGAACAGGTGGTGAAGAACTGGCAGCCTTTGTCTTGGGACCACTGTTTGCCATGGAACTGGCAGCCTTTGTCTTGGGACCACTGTTTGCCATGGAAAGCAGGACTAGAGCTGAGTGTCTGAGTTTAACTTTTTAAAAAAAATCATTTTTTGGGGGGTTCATACAGCTCAAAATCCATACATCAACTGTGTAAAGCACATTTGTACATTTGTTGCCCTCATCATTCTCAAAACATCTACTCTCCACCTAAGCCCCTGGCATCAGCTCCTCATTTTCCCCCCTTCCTCCCCGCTCTCCCCTCCCTCATGAACCCTTGATAATTTATAAACTATTTTTTTGTCATATCTTACACTGTTCGACGTCTCCCTTCACCCACTTTTCTGTTGTCCACGTCTCCCTTCACCCACTTTTCTGTTCCCTGTAATTGGTTACCCCTTTCCACCTTACCCTCCTTCCATGCTCCCAGTATCGCCACTCTTACTACTGGTCCTGAAGGGATCATCCATCCTGGATTCCTTGTGTTTCTAGTTCCTATCTGTACCTATATACATCCTCTGGTCTAGCCAGACTTATAAGGTAGAATTGGGGTGGGAGTGGGGAGGAAGCATTTAGGAACTAGAGGAAAGATGTATGTTTCATCGTTGCTACACTACACTCTGATTGGCTCGTCTCCTCCCCGCGACCCTTCTGTAAGGGGATGTCCAGTTGTCTACAGATGGACTTTGGGTCCCCACTCTGCACTCCCCCTCATTCCCAATGATATGATTTTTGTTCTTTGATGCCTGATATCTGATCCCTTCGACACCTCGTGATCACACAGGCTGGGAGTTTAAATTTTTCATCTGCAAATGGCCCTCGGTAAATGCTGGCAACTCCAGTTCCATCTCCATTTGCAAAGTCTCCACCCTGGATCAGCACTTTCTTTATGAGCCTGTGGATTGGAACCCCCTCTTTTCTGAATTCTCCTGTACAGAATTGCCTAAAGTTCTCCAACGTTCTAGGCACAACATCTGCAAAGAGCTGGATTTTCATGTGGCTAAAATTTTGGCTGGCATCAAAGAGTACCACTGGGTTGACTGGGCTTGAATTTGCCACCACCATGGCTCAGAAGCAGTATTCTTGTACCATGGGCCAGATTCATACACCTGTGCCTTGTGCTCTTGCTTTTGCTTTCTTTAGCTTTTTTTTTTCTTTCTTTCTTTTGCTTTCTTTGCTCCTCTACCACTCCTCCTCTACTCCGTGGATGTCCCAGCTCTCTGCCTCCTTGAACTAGGTAATTTAGTGTGCAGGAATCTCAAGGTTCAAAGGATGAGCTCCATTCTCTGTTTTTCCTTCTTGATGGTAATAAGATCCCCGTTCCTGCTTCTGAGACGGTTCATTTAAAACCCAGAAGGGTGGAAAAT